ATTGTCAGTGGTACCCTGGGCGACAGGGAGATAAGTTCCACCAACTGCTATTATTTCCATCAACAAGTCTTATATAAACTTGTCTGCCAGTAGTTTGGGCATAAAAAGGCTACAAAAGCCTGAATGTCCTGAGGCAAATTGCAAGATTTATAATCCATAAGTCATGAAAAGTAGAACAAGTCAATTTGCTATGAGAACATGGAAACTGTGCAGATTACTGAGGTGGGTTCTATTGCTCGCCCCATACTGTCACTGGCTGTCCACCTCTCCTCATTTCTTCAGGCATCCCCTGCGTGCCATCACCCTCGAGGCTGTTTTTTACATATAAAGTGTCTCATTTTGACAGACAGCATTACTCACAACCTCCCTCCCACTTCCCCCAACCCTGCCATTCTAATACCTAACCCAAGATCTATCTTTCCATTGCCACTTTCCAGATTCAAGTTCACCCTACAAGGCTTGGTGATACAAAGGCGATACCAACTCTCATTGAGTTGGGTTGTGACCAGATACTTGTGACCAATAGTATTGCTTGTGACCCCACTGATGTTCCTTCTGAATCCCCAGATACCTTCTAGTTGCCTAACTTACTTTCTGTAAGTACATTACTCAATCTAACAAGATGTGCCCCATTACTCAAAAGACCCATTAGGGAGAGAAAGGAGAGTTTGAATTTGGCACGCTGCGGTAATTTTGTGCAAGTATTTTAAAACTGATGTCCATTTTGTCAAGTGTAAGGGATGGTGATTTTGCTACGTATTTTATGTTCAATTTTGTACTGTAATTGCCATTGCTTCAAAACTGCTGGTTAGCTCAAAATGACTTTCTGATTACATTTTCGATCCCTTTTTTCCTTGCTCAATCTAAAAATCGCTCGAGTGAAAGAGTTTGCAGGCAGCAGCATGTCCCTGCTGATTACTTTGCTAAGATCAGATTTTCAGGGAGCAATCAGGGAGTCTCAGAGCAGCCTGTGTATGGGCTTTGCCTACACTTGCAAGGGTAGAGGAGGAGGTCATAAGGGGGGTTAATTCAGCTACATTCTGCCAAGCCCGGAAGTGCCACAAAAATTGAGGTAACAAGCATTTAACAACAATAAAAGAAACAAAACCACAAAATGTGAAGGCAGAGACAGTTGTTTTGAATCAAACTTCTCTCTCAGAAATGTCACCACTTATGGAAATCTGATTTGCAAAATCAGTGCTATGACAGGGGGTCCATAAACTGTATTATCTGAAAGAGCCATCCCTTTCAGATTTCATTTTACATATGCCTAAAAGGATTTGCTTTGCTTTGCCATGTATAATCACAATTAGCTATGAAGCATAAAAATTTAATCACAATATTTTACTGTAATATTAAATTATGAGTAGGTACATAAATATAAATAAAATAGGACTTGTTTAAAAAGTGAAACATGAGGCTATGAATCACAAAATGGTGAGTAAAAACTGTTAACAAATTCTGACTTATATTTGCAAGACCCCGTATTTCAGAAGGTCAAACATATACATCAGCAACACATTCTATGTAAATGTTCAAGAGTAATATGAATATAAAGATAAAATTAATAGTCTGCAGGAACAGACACCAAGAAAATAAGCCTTGTGCATGCCAAGACACGTCTAAATGAAACATCTCTTCTGGCCTTACCTTTCTTGAGACAAGGAAACTTAAACAATTTGACCAGTCCAAAATCATCTCCAGACACCAGCACGGAGCTGTTGTAGTTCGCATCCACCGAGTTGATGTCGGTGACATCCGTGTATTTCGGCCAAATTCCACTCACTTCCGGGCCTTTCACACACGTCCAGGAGGCCCAAGGGATCCCTTTGATTTCTTCTTTACTCGCTAACGGCTTCCCGGCTGAAAATAACCAACAAACATTCATGTAATATTACATTTATTTTTAAAAATATATTTTTATTGATTTCAGAGAGGAAGGAAGAGGGAGAGAGATAGAATCAATGATGAGAGAGAATTATTGATTGGCTGCTTTCCTGCACGCCCCCTATTGGGGATTGAACCCACAACCCAGGCATGTGCCCTTGACTGGAATCGAACCCAGGACCCTTCAGCCCCAGGCTGACGCTCTATCCACTGAGCCAAA